TCAAGGCCATCGGCTTCTGGCTTGGGTTAACGGTAGTCGGAATTCTTGTGGCGCCGTACCTAGAAAAGATCCTGGATAAATTCAGTTCAACCAGCGCGTTGATGTGCATACCTCTTGCCCTGGCGTTGCTGGCCGCCGGTCTGGCGGAGCTGTTTGGGTTGGCCTTCATTATTGGCGCTTTCTCAATCGGACTGGCTCTATCCACCACCCGGTTGGGTCATTTGGTAGAAGCAGCCATGCTGGGTGTGGTGGACTTCCTGGTTCCGGTGTTCTTTGTAGTCATGGGTATGCTGGTGGACGTCACCGCTATACAGACCGGGATAGTCTTCGGCCTGATTATTTCGGTACTGGCTATCTTCTCCAAGGTGGTGGGCTCAGGGGGGCCGGCCCTGATAAGCGGCTTCAACTGGAGGGGCAGCGCCCGTATTGGTGTCGGCATGATGCCCCGCGGCGAGGTGGCCCTGATTATCGCTGGCATTGGCCTTTCTCATGGCATCATCGGCCAGGACCTTTTTGGTGTCAGTATCTTGATGACCGTGCTGACGACCCTCATAGCGCCAATAGTTCTGGTTCCTCTGTTCAGGTCAGGGGGCGCCGGAGTGCGCAAGCTGGCCAAAGAAGAAAAAGAGCGAGAGGCCGCAGTTGCAGAGGCGGTGGAAGACTAGAAACCGGAGACACTGGGGTAATACGCAGGAACGTGTGCGGTAATCCAGGGTTGACATGCACCTGGCTTGCCGGAATCAAGGGAAGGAGACCGGAGAACTATGATAGGTGTTTTGACTCATCACTGGGCAAAGGGTGACAAGGTAGAAGAGGCCAAGAAGCTGCTGGACGGCAACGGCATAGCCCAAAGCAAGGCGCCGGGGTTCGGCAGCCGCGAGACATTATACTCACTGACCGACCCCACGAAAATAACCACGCTGGTTACCTGGGAAAGCAATGAGATTTACGATGCCTGGCGGGCCAGCCCGGAGCGGGCCGTAGCCATGGCAGGCGCCGAAGAACTGTGGTCTCAGTCGCCGGAATCGGAAAGGTTTGATGTGGCCTAGCTTAGGTGCGCGACACCTGAGCGGAGGTGGGAAGAAGCCATCACATGGGCAACCCAAGGGGTGGTTAGTCTTAAGTACAGTCTACGATAGGATACCACCCAGGCCCCCCTCCAGGTGCTCCTCGGCCAATTCAGTGAATCTTTCCAGCTTGTGCTTCGCATAAGGGTTTGCCAGTTCGAGTAGGCCCTTCAACGACTCGGCGATGTCGAGGGTGTTGCCTTCCACCAGTAGCAAAGACGCGTCCCTCTTTTGCGCCTCAACCCGGATGTACTCCGTGGGTTCTTCTCCGCCCGTCAAGACCAGTAGCTTGGTGTCGCACATCAGGCTGGCCATTTGAATATCGGGTCTCGCAGCCCGGGTAATTACTGCCTGGTTGGCGTAGCGCCCAAAATAATTTGGCCCCGAGTCGAGGATATTCCCGCCAATCAGAAAGCGGTCGATCCACAGGTCGGAAGCTGCAGGTTCCCGGATCCAGCGTCCGCCCAGAAAGTCAGCTATCTGGCCTGAGGTCAAGGCCAGCATCTCCCGGTCTTCCGGTATTGCCCCACACACCGGCAGTCCCTGCCTGCTCAGTCGGGTTACCAGTTTATCCTGAACCTCCCGACGGCGATGTCGCGGGACGTTGTTGACTACAATTCCTGCGAGGTCGTCCCCATAGTTCTGGCTAGTTTGTGAGATGTGCCCTGCGGTCGACGCAGGATCGCTGACGCCTGCCAATGATTGGACCAGAAGCACCGGAAATCCGGAGGGAGCGACAGGTGCGTCCCATTCCACCAGGACAACGTCGAATTCTTCCCCCAGTCGGGTAAGGGTTTCCGAGACCGCACGGGAACGGGACTCCGAAAGACTGTCAGGGAGTTGAAGAGGGTCAATAGGTTCGGGGAATGGAGGAGGCACGTTGTCTTGTGGTGACCCTAGTGATTCCAGCATGTTAGATATGAAATACAGGTCAGGATCAGCATCGGGAATAGGGGAGAGAGGTTTGAAGTAGGCTGTCCTCTTCCCAGCGGCGCCATGTTGGCGGGCCAGGGCCCCGGACAGGCAGGTCTTGCCGGCGCCGCTACGGGTGGAAACTATGTTGAGCGTTGCCAAAAGCGCCCCCTTCTATGGTCATCGTTGCCGTTCAAATTTTACCATAGGGGCAATTGAAACCAGTAAGCCACTGGGCAGAAGGGGGCCCGGACCCTGTGTTAGAATTGTCGAAATTCCCACCCGTAGATAAACGGAGTATTTGAATGGTTTCCATAGCATACGAAAAGGTCACACTTTCCAACGGCCTTGAGGTGATTCTGCACGAAGACCACTCCATTCCCCTTGCGGCAGTCAATGTTTGGTACCACGTGGGGTCGAAGAACGAGATACCTGGTCGGACCGGTTTTGCTCACCTGTTCGAGCACGTAATGTTTGAGGGTTCCGGGCATCACAACAGCAGCCACTTTGAGCCGCTGCAGAAAGTGGGGGCCAACCTCAACGGTTCCACCAACTCCGACCGGACAAACTACTGGGAAGATGTGCCCTCCAACTACCTGGAACTGGCGCTTTGGCTGGAGTCGGACCGGATGGGCTTCCTGCTAGACGCCCTGGACCAGCAGCGGTTTGAGATTCAACGCGACGTCGTCAAAAACGAGCGGCGCCAGAGCTACGAGAATCGTCCCTACGGAATGGCCCAGTGGAATATCCAGGAGGCGGTATTCCCCCTGCCCCATCCATACCACTGGATGACCATCGGTTCCCAGGAAGACCTGGATGCCGCCAGTTTAGATGACATAAAAGACTTTTTCCGCAGGTTCTATTCACCTTCCAACGCCAGTCTCTCCATTGCCGGAGACATAGATCGGAACGAGACCCTGGAGATTGTGAATCGCTACTTTGGAGACCTGCCCCCCGGTCCCCCGGTGCGCCGCGTCGGCCGCTTCGACTCCGCACTGGGCGGACGAGTGGAGTTGGAGATGCGGGACAAAGTGTCGCTGCCCCGACTGTATATTGTCTGGCCCGCGTTGCCCGACAACGACCCGGATGAGGGCGCCCTGGAACTGCTGCGAGCGGTCCTAGCCGATGGGCAAAGTTCCCGCCTGTACCGCAGCCTGGTATACGACAAGCAGATCGCCCAGAGTGTAGGCGTCCGCAATCACTCGGCGGAGATCGCCGGCCAGTTCATTGTTGACGTTACTGCTGCTGCCGGTCACTCCCTGGACGAATTGGAAGCGGCCGTAGACGCGGAGATTGCTCGAATCTGGCAGGACCCGCCCACCGACGAGGAACTGCAACGGGCGAAGAACCGCTTTGAGAGTTCGCACTTCCGCCAACTGGCCAGGATAGGAGGCTTTGGTGGCAGGGCTGACATTCTCAACTACTACAATGTCCTGTACGGTGACCCGAACATGATAAACACCGGCATGGACAAATATATGGCAGTGCAGCCGGAAGACATTCTCAGAGTTGGTCAAGAGGTCCTGAAACAGCGGCAAGTGAGGATGCGGGTTTTGCCTGAAAGTCAGTTGCAGCCTGCGGGCTCTGCCAATTTGGACCGCACTGTTACGCCGCCGGCCGGAGACGAACCTGAGTTTACACCTCCGGTGCCCGTCCACCGGCAGTTGGACAATGGATTGCAGGTAACCGTAGTAGAGAAACGGGGATTACCAATTGTCTCTTTTGCTTTGTTGGTACAAGCCGGAGCTATCACGGACCCGCCGGAACTACCGGGGCTGGCCTCATTCACGACTCAAATGTTGCCCGAGGGGACACAGACCCGTTCCAGCCAGGATATCGCCCATGCCTTTGAGTTTATCGGGGCTCGTCTGTCTACCGAAACCAGGAAAGAGGCCAGTGTGCTGTCCTCCGAGACTCTGAGCAAGCACTGGGCGACGGCCCTGGAGTTGCTGGCAGACGTAGCTCAGAACCCTTCGTTCCCTGAGTACGAGGTAGATCGCATCCGAAGGGAGCACCTGACTGACATCCGCCGAGGAAAGGACGATCCAACCTTTGTGGCGGAGCGAATAATGTCCGGCCTCGTCTTCGGCCGCGGATCCCGCTACGGTCATCCTAGCATGGGCAATGAAGAGTCGGTGGCGGCTTTCACCCGGGAAGACATACAGAACCATTTTGAAAAGCATTTTGGGCCGTCCGGAGCTAACCTGGTGGTCGTAGGTGACGTGAGCCTGGACGAGGTAATGGGGCAAGCGCAGGAGCTGTTTGGAGACTGGAGCGATGCACCAGCCAGAGCGGAAAGGGGGGAATCCGGAGATCCGGACGGGAAGGTTGAAGGGCTGCCAACCACTATTTATTTGGTAGACAAGCCGGGGGCGGCGCAATCGGTGCTTCGAGTGGGGCATGATACCGTGCCTCGCAGCCATGCCGACTATACCCCTTTGACCCTGCTCAACTACTCTTTTGGCGGCCAGTTCTCTGCGCGGCTAAACCAGAACCTGCGCCAGGACAAGGGCTACAGCTACGGCTTTAATTCAGGCATTTCCTGGTACACACCCCAGTCGCTGCTGGTGGCTGGTGGCAGCGTTCAAACCGCGGTTACCAAGGAGTCGGTGCAGGAAACCCTGAATGAATTCAAGGAAATCCACGGCGCGCGTCCAGTGACCGACGAAGAGCTTGCCGCGGCCAAAGCGGGGATGCTGCTCGGCTTTCCGGCAGGATTCGAACGGCCCGGTCAGGTGCTCGTACAAGTGATCCAGCTCATTCAGCACCAGTTGCCAGACGACTACTTCCGCACAGTAAAGGAAAGAATATCTGCTGTCACTTTGGATGACGTCAGAAAGGCTGGCGAAAAAAGAGTTCACCCAGATGGACTAAGAGTATTGGTGGTGGGAGACCGCTCTGTAGTCGAACTTGGGTTGCGTGAGTTGGGACTGCCCATAGTGGTTTTGGACAGTGAGGGCGAAATTATCGGATAGGTGTCCAGGCCTCACCTGAAATTACGAACTAGCGAGGGAGCCGGAATTACAGTTGCCGTATCGCCCGGCGTTGGGCTGCAAATAGAGGTTCCATGCCCCGGGCGGCCAAGGCAAGGATTCCTTCAACCCGCTGCCTGGGAAAGGGTGAGCCCTCAGTGGCTCCCTGAAGCTCCACCAATTCGCCGCGATCAGTCATGACTACATTGAAATCCACCTGGGCGTCAAAGTCCTCGCGGTAACACAGGTCCAGCAGCAAGTCGTCCTTGACCAATCCCACGCTGACGGCGGCCACCGCGCCGTGGAGAGGTATTCTGCGTACCGCCCGGCTGTCTACCAGCACCTTCAATGCCTGATACAGGGCCACGTAGGCGCCGGTTATGGCGGCAGTGCGAGTTCCCCCGTCGGCCTGTATTACGTCGCAGTCTATTTGGACTGTGCGTTCCCCCAGTGCCTCCAGGTCGGTTATCGCCCTCAATGAACGCCCGATGAGCCGTTGAATCTCCTGGGACCGACCGCTGATTCGTCCGGAGTCCCGTTCTCGGGGTGTTCTGGTGTTGGTGGCGCGGGGCAGCATGTTGTATTCGGCGGTAACCCAGCCCTGGCCCTGGCCTCGAAGGAAGGGTGGCACCCGTTCCTCAAGGGATGCGGCGCACAATACTTTGGTGTGCCCCGTCTCAATCAATGCCGACCCTTCGGCGAACCGCTGGTAGTTAGGGGTAATGGAAATCGGGCGGGTTTCATCCCATTGCCGACCGTCATGCCTGGTCAAGATACTTTCTCCTTGTTTTCGTCATCTGTTTCAGTGGGCGAGCACCTGAGAGTATAGCTTGACTGGACGTTCTTCAAAAGGCTGCCTCAAGACCTGATGTTTCGCGCCCTTCGCTCACGGTTATTCACTTCTCTGTCTTGACCCACAGGCGTTTCCCATCGGTGCTGAATTTGATAGTACCCTGGTTGGCGGTAGAGAATACTCCCTCTTCGCCCACAGTTTCTTTCAGACGCGCCATTACTGAAGGATGTGGGTGGCCGTATTGGTTGCCCTCGCCAGCGGAGATTACCGCCCACCGGGGATTTACCTCTCTCAGAAATGTGGTGGTGGTAGAAGAATTGCTGCCGTGATGAGGCGCTTTCAGCACGTCGCTTTCCAGGCCTGGAGAGTTTTTGGTCATGTAGCGTTCGGCCTCGGCCTCGATGTCGGCGGTTAACAGGAAGCTAATCTCCTCATAGTCCAGTTTGAGCACTACGCTGTTATTGTTGGAGTCCCAAGTCGGTCCCCTCACAGGGTTAGGGGGAGGGTGCAAGACACGGAGCACTATTCCCTCTTCGAGGGCCAATTCCTGTCCGGCAGCGAGGTTGGCCACAGTATGGTCTCCCTGCTCAACCGCTTTACGCCATTGAGGGTATAGGGGGCTGTCAAGGTCGTCCACGCCCACAGCTACGGTTCCAACTTGGTAAGTCTCAAGCACACTTAGCAATCCGCGGCTGTGGTCTGCGTCCAAGTGGGTTGCTATCAACAAGTCCAGGGAACGGTCCCGCCAGGGCAAATTGTCCTGAAGTTGGAACTCGGCGCCGCCGAAATCTGGCCCGCCGTCAATCAGTATCTGCTTTCCGCCGGGCGTCACAATAAAGATGCTGTCGCCCTGTCCAACGTCCAGGAAGTGGACGTGAAGTCGCTCGTCGCCGGGTAGAAGCATTGGGATCAATAGGAATGCTAACGCCACTACCAGAGCAAGGCAGCCCACCACCAATCCCAACTTGGGTTTCACCCCTCGCTCCCACGCCGGTTTGAAAGGAAGCGTCTTGTCCTTTGATAGAGCCCCCCTGAACCTGGACAGGACTTGCACACGATAAGTCCTGCTGTCGGCCAGCACCAGCAGGGCCGGCAACAAGCCGTACCAAGCCCAGGTCAGTGGGTAGGATTCACCAGCAATGGCGACCGTCCACTTGGGCACCGACTCAACCAACTGCAATAAGGCTGTAAGGGGAATCGATCCCGGTATGCCTACCAATTGGCCCAGGACCGGGTGAATGCTTCCTGCAAGGCCCACTGCCATGCCTCCTCCCAGTGCAAATGGCAGCAAAGGTGTGGCCAGGATGGTGGCTGGTATGCCCAGCATGGGAATCTGTTTAAAGTTGAGGGCAACCAGGGGGAATGTGGCCAGGGTGGCGGCAATTGATACGATAGCTGCGGCTAACAGCCAACCGGTAACAACTCCCATTGCAGGACCCAGAGACCAATTGCTTTGCTCGAAACGGTCAGCAATCCCTTGGGACACTGCTTCTTGCCAGGGCAAGGCCAGGACGATGCCTGTCATGGCGGCGAAACTCAGCTGGAAGGAGATCTGGGAAATCAGCTTTGGGTCGAGGGCAGTCATCAGAATTGCACTAAATGCCAGCGCCGGAGCCAGACTCTCCCTGGGTCTGCCTAAACCCAATGCAACCAAGAAAACACTCCCCATGATTGCCGCTCTAATGACGGATGCGGGCGCCCCGCTAATAAGAACGTAGACCCAGACCAGGGATAAGGTCAGCAACAGCGGAACAGGAGTATGCCTTCCCAGGAGGCGGTGCAACAGACCCAATGACATCAACAGCAAGATGCCCAAGTGCAAGCCCGAAATAGCGAGGAGATGGGATGTCCCGGACTGCCGAAAGTTCTCTGTAACCTGGTCAGGCAATTGGCCCCGCAAGCCCAATAGCAAAGCTTGGGCCAACGCAGCCTGGGATGGCGGCAGGGAAGTGTCCAAAGTTCGGGCAATATGATGACGCAACTCGTAGATTCTGCCCTTCAACTGGTAGGGCAACCTTTGAAAGGAACCAGTAAACCCGGTGGACTCCCCAGCTTCTCCCAGGATGTCGACTTGCCGGGCCCAAAAGATGCCCTGTATTCCCTTGCTCTCGAGGTAGGCTGGGTAGTCAAAGCCCTCTATTGGCTCCGGACGCTGCAATGTGCCGGTCAAATGCAACTTGTCGTCAAAGCGAAAGAAGGGCCTTTCCCGCGAGCGGACCAACTCTGGAGGAGGGTGGGCATAAACGATGACCTTGTCGCCTTGCTCGCTCCGATGAGTGCCCGGTATGGAACCTTCTTCTTGAGCGGCAGACACTTCCAGAGCAAACTTGATGCGATTGCTGGTGAGTTCGGGATCGTTGGAGATTGTCCCAGTTAGTGTCACAGCCGCTCCCTCATAAATCGGTATGACCGGTACCGGCGGTTGGCTGATTTCATACCGCCACAATCCCAGCAGACAAAAAGCAGCCAGGAGAACTGTCCAGGAAGGAATCTGAACGAGTCGGCAAGTGAGGGCCGCAGCCAGGGCGAAGAGCACAAGAAGAAGGATGGCGGTTGGGCTGGCGTCATACCAGCCGTGTGCCACGGCCATTCCGACCAACCAAACTGCTGCCAAACTCGTCAACTTCATTGAAATTGTTGGATAAGCCGGGTTGAAAGAGGTTCAATAATCGGATTCGAGGACAAGATGGGAGCCAATGCGACGGTTGTTGGTTGGATGGTGGGCATGTGATCGGGTCAAGGGTCTACCGTGGCGAGGTGTCGCAGGTTCTCCAGGATTCCCGGGCCAATTCCGTGGACGGCAGTAATCTCTTCAACGGAGGGAAAAGGGCCGTTCTGATCACGGTGGGCGATGATGGCCTGAGCGCGGACGGGGCCGATACCTGGCAGGGTTTCCAGCTTTGCTTGGTCGGCAGTGTTGAGATTTACAAGTGTGTCTCCGACCCCGGTCTGGCCGGGTTCCTTAGTCGAATCTTCTGGTAACTCTCCGGTCGACAGGTCGGCCGCCAGGGGAGGGAATCGCGAAGCGGATTCGGTGGAATCATGAGTATGTGGTTTGGCATCGGTGGCGTGCTTCGCCACCTTGTTCGGAATATAAAAATACCCTTCGTCCTCGACTCTGACTGCCAGATTGACTGCCTCCAGATCTGCGATGGCGGTGGCGCCCCTGGCGGCTTCCACTACATCGATTAACCGGTCGCCGGACTGCATGGTATACACTCCGGGGCGGCGGACCGCTCCGGCGATGTAGACCCGAAACTTTTGGGTGGACCCCTTACCCGCTGTGCTTTCCGGTTGGCCCGTTTCTGAGGAAGAGGTTGCCTCAGATGTTGGTGCGGGAACCTGAAGTGTATTGGCAGGAGAGCCAGTTGTGAGTTCGATTGGCTGTGGCCCATCATCGGTGAAGTAGACCAGGAAGAAAGCAACCACCAGTAACAGGCACACCGCGGCCAGTGCCGTAACTAATATCAATTTGGATAGCGACAAATTAGCCATAACGGCGCGCCTGAGTGAGAGTGGCTTGCATCCAGGTTAAATTCAGAAGACCCGAAGACTCCCTTCATCAACTAAGACGAAAACTGTTGAACTGTTTGCGGGATTATATACAATATCGGTGTAATTTGCTCAAATACATCGCCTTAAGAGGCTTTGCGAGTTGCATAGCGTTACGAGGTTGCTTTAAAGGGTCATTTGACTAGCGCTGTTCGATTCTGAAACGCGGAACTTGCGTCTACGAAAACTGGTAGTATAATCAGTTAAAGTCCCTTAATAAGGGGCAATAACGTCAATACTCAACGGAAAAGGAGGGCAAGAGTCATGACTCAATCCGTAATGCATGCTCAAATGGGTGGTTCGACGGGTGGCGGGGAGGAACTGGTAGAGGCGGGCGCGGTCACGTTCGGCCTGCAATACCGTACCGACGTTGGGGCGATGAACGACGAGGGCATCTGCATCCACGTTTATGGCAACGAAATCGAGGGAAACGATAAAGAGTTGTTGCGCTTCGATTGCTTCCGAATCAATCCCCACTATCACTATCGCAACAAGCCCATGGACAGGAATGATCGGCTGGAGCTGGACTTTACCGCAGAGGGCGATCCCCTTTCCTGGACCCTGGACAAGATTCAGAACCGGCTGCCAATAATGCTGATTCGCTGCCAGGCCGACGAAATTGCTCGTAGCGTTGACCAGCGGGACGTCGACGCAGCGTTGCCAAAGATCGTGGCCTGGGCCGAGACTAAGACCCATAACAGGGGATAAGCGCTTGCAAAGACGCCGTGTCGAGTACACGCGGCGACGGTTGGCGCAAAGTATAGGTCTTAAGGAAACGGGGTGGGTCGGTCTTGACCCGCCCCGTTTCCCTTTGTCTGATTTCGATTGAATTGGATAGGAACCCGAGGTATTGGTTATAATGGAATGATTCACTTAGCAAAATTCTATTAGTGGAACGCGAGTAATGAGTTGGCCCAAGAATTTAGCGATAGTTCTCTTGTTTGTTGTTCTGGCTGTATGGTAGTGTCGTGCGGGGGGACTGAGACCGTTCGCATTGGCACCGAAGGCGCCTACCCTCCCTTTGGATACCTCAACGATGCAGGAGAATTGGAAGGTTTTGAGATAGAACTGGGTAACGAGTTGTGCAGCCGTGTCCAACTGAAGTGCCAGTGGGTAGTTAACGATTGGGAATCCATCATTCCCAATCTCCAGGGCGATAAATATGACGTGATCATGGCTGCCATGAGCATCACCGAAGAACGGGACGAACTGATTGACTTCACCCAGCCTTACTATCCTCCTGCACCCTCAGTTTTTGCTGCCCTGGTAGGGGCCAATGAGGACGTTGTCGAAGGCAGAGTTGCGGCCCAGACCGCCACGGTTCAGGCTGACTACCTGGAAGGCAAGGTTGCGGAACTATTGGAGTATCCAGTTGCTGAAGACGCCGTTGAAGCCGTCCTGAGTGGCGAAGCTGACTCCACATTTGCCGGCGATTCTTATCTGAAGGCTGTGATTGAAAACAGCGAAGGCAAACTGCACTTCGTGGGTCCTGAGGTAGTACTGGAACTGTGTACTGGGATCGGAGTTCGAGAGGGTGACGAAGTCTTGCGAGAGAAGTTGGACCACGCAATTCAGATGATGAAGGAAGATGGCTCACTAAACGAGTTGATCAGAAAGTGGTTCAAAGAGGACGCTGTTACATTCTAGGTTGGCTTGGTTATGATGTGTTCTGCCGCAGCTTTCCCTGACGGTGGGCCAAGAAGTGGCGTCAATCCCGGGTTTCGTTGGACCAACCTTCACCGTTGCCCCCTGTGTTAAACTGGGGCACTGTTTCCATAAATAGCACAGGAGGAGTCATGCCCCCCAAGCAATATGCTAGTTCACCCTCGCTGATCCTGGACCCAACCAAGCTTTATATGGGTACAATACATACCAATCACGGCGATATGCTTGTTGAACTGTTCGCCGCGGAAGCTCCCCGCACCGTAAACAACTTTGTCTTTCTTGCCAGGGAAGGATTCTATGAAGATGGTTCCTTCCACCGGGTTTATCAAGGACTTCATGGTTCAGGGTGGCTGCCCTGAAGGCACTGGCCGAGGCGGGCCGGGTTATCGCTTTCAGGACGAGACCGTGAGCCGCCCCTACGTTAAGGGAACTCTGGCCATGGCCAATGCCGGACCAGACACCAACGGCAGCCAGTTCTTTATCGTCCACGGACAGAACGTGGGTTTGCCCCCCAATTACACGATTTTCGGGATGCTGACCGAAGGTGAGGAAACACTGGATACCCTGGCCAACTCTGCGGTAACCTCAGGCTCCGGGGGAGAGAGGTCTACGCCGACAGAGCGCCTGCAAATCCAAAACATCGAAATCCACGAAAAAGAAGTCACACCGGCCAGTTAACGCCGGTATAACAGGTCAAAAATCTAAGGGGCGGGTTTGGAACCCGCCCCTTAGATTTTTGGCTTTACTGCCCCACTTTTCTTCAACCACGGATCATCTCCGTGCTTCAACCCGGGGTTTTCGAGCGAACAGGAAAAGTACACCGCCCAGGAAGTTGAACCCCGCCAGAATGAGGAAGGCCATATCGTAGGAATCCTGAATGTCTCGCATGTAGCCGGCCATTGGGGAGCCTATCAGCAGCAGGACGTTCATCGGAACCGTAGAAAGCCCCAGGATGCGGCCAAAGGATGTTCGGCCAAAGTATTCACCCCGTATAGCAGTGGTTAGTGGATTCCTGCCGCCAAACCCTATTCCGAACAATACGGCGAAGAGATAGAACATTAGCAAGCTGGAGGCCAGGGTCAGTACAACTACCGCGGCAGCCTGTATGGATGTGAATACAAACAAGGCAATGTTCTTGGGCCAGCGATCTCCCATGTAGCCGCCTACCAACTGGAACACCATCGCGGTGGCAGTGTACACAACTACAATCCACCCCGTCGTCTGCACGTCAAACCCCTCGTCCTTCAGGAGCAGGCCCAGGTGCGTCATAATGGCGAGAATCACCATTGAAGTGAAGCCGTGGCCGAAGGATATCAGCCAGAAGGCGGGGGTCTTGAGGGCCTCAGCCGCAGTCAGATCCCCATCATCATGGGGAGCAGGCCGGCGGGCGGTGTCAGCAGGTCTGGGCCTGTCTGCGCGTCCTGAGGGCGCTGTCACTTCTTCCGTCGCTGGCGGTGTCGGTGCCGGCGGGTCGCCGTCGGGAAGTTGACCGTAGTCCTGGGGCCGGTTGCGGATGAACCTGGTGAGGGGAACGCTACCACCAGCGTGAATACACCCAGGATTAAGGCGGTCATTTGCCAGCCCAGCCTGGCATGTTCGGGGTCAATGGCCCAGGCAATGGCGGGAACCAAGAGCAACGCCCCCAGCCGGCCACCCACGTTGGACCAACCCATTGCCGTGGCCCGTCGCCTGGAAAACCAGTTGTTGATAGTGGTCATCAGGGGAAGCCAGCTTCCCAGACCCTGGCCCAGCGCCATGACTATGAATGCAACGTAGAACATCCACAGGCTTTGGACGCCAGCGAATATCAGAAAGCCAATGCCAAGGACAATCAGGCCGATGAAAATCATGCGGCGGGCGCCCAATCGGTCGGTGAGGTAGCCTTCGAGGGGGCCCATCAGCCCGCCCTCGATGCGAGTGAAGGTCAGGGCTAGGCCCAGTTGCCCTCGACTCCAGCCGAAGTGGCTTTCCAGAGCCACCGACCAGACTGCCATGGCGTGGTAAAGGGGTACTGTGGCGATGGTCATGGTAAAGCCGCTAAGGACTACCAGCCACCAGCCGTAGAAGACTCCCTGTGCTCGGCGGGGTGCGGATATGATTTGACTTGCCAGTCCCAAGGTGTCGCTCGTTGGGAAGATCAAGTGGCGGCAATACTGAGCATACGGCCTCAGGTCCCACCACAGAAAAGCTCTAGTGTACCACAGGCAAGGAAGGCCCTTAGGCAATGGCTGACCAGCATCCCCAAGAGGTTGAAACTACGGCGCCGTATTCGCTGTTGGCAAGGCTGATGTTTCCAACTACCTCAGGTAGGCACTCCGAGCGTGAAACAGTTCTTCTCAGGCCGAGCGGGATTCTCCCGTCTCAATCCAGAGCCGGTACACCTCTCGCCGTGGCAAGGCCGTGGCGGCCATCACCTCAGCCACCGCTTCCCGTGCCTTTGCCCCTGACCTCCGAAGATCGGCCAGTTGTTGCCGTACCATTTCCAGGTCAGCCGCTTCTTCATTGTGGGCAACTCCTTCATAGCCTGCCACCACCAGCACAAATTCCCCTCGGGGTGTGGCGAAGTATGCGAGGGCCTCGGGAAATGGTCACCCGTTTGACCTCCTCGTGGAGTTTGGTCAGTTCGCGACATACTGCCATTTGCCGGTCGCCCAGGACTGAAAGCAAGTCTTCCAGCGTGGCCCGCATCCGGTGAGGGGCTTCGAATATCACCAGGGTGTCGGTAACTCGGGCTACCGCGGCCAGCTTTTTCTTACGTTCAACCCGACGGCGTGGCAGGAACCCCAGAAAAAGGAAAGTGTCGGCGGGCAAGCCGGAGACTGCCAGAGCCGTCGTCACTGCCGAAGGGCCAGGTATGACTTCAACGGAATGTCCCGCTGCTGCCACCTGGCGAACTACTTCCGATCCGGGGTCGCTGACCGACGGCATTCCCGCGTCCGTCACCAGTGCAACGTCTCCCGACTTCAGGGCCGTTAGCAGTTCGGAAAGACGCGCTGACCAGTTGTGCTCGTTGCAACTTACGAGGGGAACTCGAGCCTTCAGGTGGGCTAGGAGCCGGCGGGTTACCCGCGTATCCTCGGCGGCCACCAGAGCCACTTTCGCTAGCACCCGGGATGCTCGGAGGGTGATATCTTCCAGGTTTCCGATCGGTGTGCCCACAACATAAAGAGTTCCCATGGATGGAATATATACCCCTTGGGGCAAGGTTCAAACCATCGTCGATTCGCTTCCCTTGCCGAAATTTGGCGGTGAAGTTAAGCTCTTATGCAGACATTTCTACTTGGCACTTTGCCCAAGCAACAAAGGAGTTGTTTATGCCCAACCTGAACGGAGGTCACCTGTTCATCCGCTGCCTGAAGCAGGAAGGCATCAAGCGGGTGTTTACCATCGTCGGAGATACTGTGCTGCCCCTGGTGGACGCAGCGGCCGACGAGGGAATCGAGTTTATCGATACTCGCCATGAGGGCGCGGCAATGCACATGGCCGATGGCTATGCCCGCATTACCGGAGAGCCTGCCGTGGCGTTGTTCACCGGCGGTCCCGGCTTTTCCAACGCTATCTCGGGCTTGCCTGCCATTTACACTTCGGAGAGCCCGGTGATTTTCGTAGCCGGTTGTGCCGAACTGCCGGAAAAAGGGATGACCACCTTCCAGGAAGTGGACCAAATAGGAATGACCGCTCCAGTTACCAAGGGTTCGTGGCTGATTCACGACCGCAGGCGCATCCCTGAGTTCGTAGCCACTGCCTTCCGGACTGCCATGGCGGGCCGGCCAGGACCGGTGCATCTGACCTTACCCATCGACATCCAGGATGAACCCATATCTGAGGAAGAGTTGCCTACCTACCTGCCCAGCGAATACCGCAATATGGGGCGGCCCCAGGGCGATCCGGCGCTGATCCAGCAGGCCGCCGACCTGCTTCGCCATGCGCAGCGGCCGGTAATCATTGTGGCAATCCGGCCCGCTACACCGCCACCCAGGAGCAGTTGACCGCCCTGGTGGAGGCAACGGGGATTCCCGCCTTCACGGTGGAACAGGCACGAGGAATGATAGACGATGAGCACGACCTGTGCTTCGGGTATGCTGATGGCGCCCTGAACACGGCGGCCCGCCGCTTCCGCGAGGCCGACGTGGTGCTGCTGTTAGGCAAACGCCTGGACCATCGCTTCCGATACGGCCAGGTCTTTGGCCCTGATGCCAAGCTGATCCAAGCCGATCCCGCGGCGGCAGAAATTGGCCGCAACCGGGGCGTTAGCGTGGGATTGTTGGGAGACCTGGGGGCCATCACCGAGCAGTTGACGGCTGCTGCAGGTCAGGGCAACCGATCCAACATAAGTGACTGGGTGGCCCAGCTCAACCAGGACCGCGCTGCCTGGATGGACGAATTACGCTCCCACGCCACCGCGGAGGAGCCGATGCACCCGCTGGATGTCTTCACTGGCATTGAACACCTGATAGATGACGACAGCTTCATCGTGATGGACGGTGGCGACTACGTGCAGTGGGGTCGCTCCTACTTCGGCGCCCGCAAGCCCGGCCGTTTCCTCCGCCTGGGGCCCTTGAGCCACCTGGGCGCCGGCATACCCTACGGCATGGCTGCCAAGCTGGCTCACCCAGAGAGCAAGGTGTTTGTCTTCTGCGGCGACGGTTCTTTCGGCTTTTATCCTATGGAATACGACACCTGCATACGCCACGACCTGCCTATTACTACCGTTATGGGCAACGACTCCAATTGGGGTATAGACAAGACTTTCCAGTTGGCCTACTACGGCCGTGCGGTGGGCACTGACCTGCGGTCAGTTCGCTACGATCAGGTTGTAGAAGCCATTGGCGGTTACGCCGAGTACGTGGAAAATCCATCGGAAGTGGGCCCGGCAGTGGAACGAGCCATCAATTCGGGACGCCCATCGCTGGTCAATATCGTCGTAAAGCCCGGCGCCAGCCCCCTGGCCCAGGCCATGATTAACCGCAGGACGGGAGGTTAGGGACTGAGATCAGTCTGGGGTTACACTGGGTAAAATGGGAAGGGGCAGGTTGCACACCTGCCCCTTCTTGTTTCGGGAACCTTCTGTTGGTCGTGGGAATGTCCAACCAGGAACTCTGGTTCGGATCCCTTATAGGCGCCAACTGGCCTAGTAGTGCCGCAGCTCTACCACGTTGTCATCGGGGTCATAGATGTAGAGGGATATGCCATCGCCGTGGGAGCCCCACCGCTTGCCGGGGCCGGCCTGGATCTCTATGCCTAACGCTTCGAACTCGGCCTTCAGTGCTTCCATGTCAGTAGGCTCGATGACCATGCAATAGTGGTCCTGATTCTTGGCCCCGTCCTTGCCGATGGGTTCCTGGTCAGAGGCGAAAGAGGTCAATGATTGTGTCGGCGTTGAGCCTGACCGACGGGAAGCGCACCTCTCCGGCCCGCCACTGTTCCACCCGTTCCACCTGCAATCCCAGAATCTCCGAGTAAAAACGGAGTGAATCTTCAACGTCACTGACGCGCAAGACTATGTGGTCCAACTCGGTGATAGTTACCAGAGGCCTGGATACTCCGGGTGTAGTCTCGGTTTGTGTAGCCATTTCATTTCTCCTGCATCAACATAATGGTTCTGGTCGCTAGGCGGGCACTGAATTGTACTGCGGGAGACGGCGCCACTGGGGACTTTCGTCATAGTGCTGCATGTCTATCTTGTTGCCGTCGGCATCCTCAATGCCCATGGGATGCTGGACCAACTCAATCATGTTGCCGTCGGGGTCGTGGATGTAGGTGTGACAACCATTGCTATATTCCCGGTGGCCAAAGGAATTTTCTGTCTCGTTCCGCCGCCCCGGCGTGGTAGTGTAGGGAATCTCCAACTGCTCCAGGTTTTCAATCAGTTCGTCCCAGTCGTTGATTTCCACCGCGAAATGCACTGAAGGCACCGGAGTCGGATTACGCGAGTCGGTGGTGTGAATCTCGCCGTTGCCGATGCGCAGCTGAAGCTGCCGCGCGTTGAGTTCCGGACCACGATCCAGGTACTCGGCGCCAAGAACATCCTCGTAGAACTTTCGAGTCTTCTCCCGGTCGCTGACCTGAATGTTTATGTGCTGGATGAGGATGACTCTGGACATAATGCCCCTCCTTGTACTGATTTAATGTTGGTTGCCTACGATTAACTCTGACTTTACTACTGAACCCGTCCATTAGACAAGAGGCAATACCTATCCGCCGAAGGTGCGTTCACCGCCATTGACGTGAATCGTTTGTCCGGAAATGTAATCACCGGCATCGGTGCAAAGGAACAGGCACAGATTGGCGATATCGTCGGTGCTGCCCATTCGGCCCGCCGGAATGTCAGCCAGGCGGTTGCCGGTGCGAGGCGCGTTTCCGCCGTCACGAGAGGTATCTATCATTCCAGGCACCACGCAGTTTACCCGAATGCCATTGGGCCCCAACTCGGTGGACAGGGCCCGGGTGAAACCCACCAGTCCAACCTTGGAGGCAGAGATGTGTGCCCCTCCGTGACGGCCCTGGTGGGCCTGCAGCCCGCCCAGGTTGATAATCCGGCCCCAGCCTCGCTCCAGCATCCCTGGTACCGCGGCCCGCGAAGTGATGAATGCCGAGTCCAGGTCGGTCGCCAGAACTCCACGCCAGTCATCATAGCTCATCTCGGTGAAGGGCTTGTGGGGGCGCACAGAGGCATTGTTAATCACGATGTCCAGATGGCCGAACTCAGACAGGGTCTGGTCAAGCAATTGTTCCAGCTCCTCGCGGTTGCCCACATCGGCCAAGATTGGCAGGGCCTGCCGGCCCAGTTCCCGAACCTCGGCCGCCACCGACTCCACGTCCTCGCGGTTGGATCGTGCGTTCACCACTACGTCCGCGCCCTCCCTGGCCAGGGCAAGCACGATGGAACGGCCGATATTGCGGCCGGACCCGGTTACCAGGGCGGTTTTTCCTTCTAGCTGCATAGGTCCTCCGGTACTTGTTGAATCCAAGCTATTTAGGTCTATTTCCGGCCATTATGAATACCAGCGGCGTTCCTGGCAACCATATTTGTTATGGGCCGGGCTACAAGTAAGGATGGCTGAATTTTAGCTTGATGGTTGATACATGCACTGTACGTTTGGGCGAGCTGTAATGTTAAAGTCTTGTGTCTAGCGAATCCCAATGAGCCGACTTATAATGGCACCATCTTCCTCTAGGAGAGTAACGCATGTATATGGTACGGAGAGTTTGCAAGACCAAGCCAGGCCAGGCCTGGGCAGTGGCCGGTTATCTGGCCAAGATTTGTGAGGCTTATGAAGAAAATGGCCGCGAGAAGGCCCGCATCTACATTGAGGGACAGGGGTTGCCTGGCACACCCAACCGGGTCTATGCCGAGTGGGTCCAGGACTCAATTGAGCCTAACTGGCCTCAGAACATTCCTCAGGCTGTCAGGGACTTCAACCCCAAGCTGCAGGAGTTACTGGACGAATACCTGCTGGAAATCTTCGAAGTTGCCACTCCGGAGAAACTGGTGCAGCGGGGCGTTGCGCAGTAAAGGCAGGTCCAAGGTAGGCCTTTAGTCGACGCGGACGGCTTTCTCCCAGGAACAGGGTCGAAGCCGTCCCTTTAATTTACCGACGTTCTTAAGGAGCAGTTTATGCTGATAGTTGACGCGCAGGTTCATGTCTGGGGAGCAAATCTCCCCACCAACCCGGCCCACCGACAGATAACATCGTTTACGAAGGAAGACTTGCTCAGGGAAATGGACGAGGCAGGGGTAGACGCTGCGGTCATCCATCCTCCGGGCTGGGACCCTAATTCCAGCCAACTGGCCCTGGAAGCGGCGGCTGAGCATCCCAATCGGCTTTCGATTCTTGGCAATTTCCCATTGGACCAGGAGTCCAGTCGGGGCCTGGTGGAGGGCTGGAGGCAACAACCGGGTATGCTGGGCCTTCGCTTTACATTCCAGCAGCCTCACATGCTGTCCTGGCCCACCGACGGCACCATGGACTGGTTGTGGCCGGCCGCCGCCGCCGCCGGTTTGCCCGTGGCCCTGGCTTGCTCCGGTTTTCTGTCAGATGTAGGGACTATCGCCGAGAGAAATCCAGAGGTCAAGTTGGTAGTTGACCACTTTGGGCGTGGCGGTGGGGCCACTGACGTAGAGGCGTGGGCCAATCTGCCCGACCTTTTAGCTCTCGCCAAGTTTCCTAACGTAGCGGTGAAGGCGACCGGGGGCCCGAGCTATTCGAGCGAGGCATACCCCTACACCAATATTCACGACTACATCCATCAGGTCTACGATGCTTTCGGTCCGGAGCGGATGTTCTGGGGTACGGACATTACCCGAATGCCCTGTTCGTGGAAGCAATGCATAACCATGTTCACCGAGGAATTGTCCTGGCTCAGCGAGTCTGACAAGGAGTTGATAATGGGACGAGCTATTTGTAACTGGATCGGTTGGGAACTGGCTGGCTAGGTTTATGTTCTATTATATCGTGGGTCACGAAGAATGGAATTCGTCGAGGCTGCTCCAAAAGCAGGCCGTATACTCTTTGACCTTTTATATTTGACCCATTGATGTGATAGGTTTAAACTGTAGAAACTTGCTATGGCATAGTTCCCAGTCGAATATCATATGGAATCAATAGGTTAGCAAACGGGGCGGCTACCTCAAAGAAGCAGATCAGGAGGTAAACCATATGGACTTTGGTATCTTTTTGGATTTTCCGACGTATGGCGGCTCCCACGAAGATGCTTTCCGTGAGACCTTCGAGTTGGTCGACCTTGCGGACGAATTGGGCTTGAATACTGTATGGCTGGGAGAGACTCACTTTACCCCGGACCGGGCCGTTCACTCTGCCCAGATGGTAATTCTCAGCGCCATTGCTTCCAGAACCAAGCAGTTGCGGGTTGGCTCGGCGGTGCATGTGCTGCCGCTGGTGCACCCCCTGCGCATTGCCGAAGAAGCGGCCACCGTGGACCAGATCAGCCAGGGCAGGTTCGAGTTCGGTGTCGGTCGGAGTGGGAACATTAGGGCCTATGACACCATGGGCATCGACTACCTGGAAAGCAAAGACCGGTTCCAGGAAGCCCTGGAAATCATCATGCAGGCTTTCAGTGGTGAGACTTTCTCCTACGAGGGCAAGTACAACCACATAACTAATGCCCGGCTGACACCCCGCCCTTATACCAAGCCCCATCCGAAAATTCGGATAGCCTCCAGCGGCGAGGACAGTTTCGAACGAGTGGGACGCTTGGGATTCCCCATTTTCCTGTCCATGCGGGGTATGGACGTGAATGAACTGGAAACCAACATGAAGCACTACCACGAAGCATGGACAAAGGCCGGCCACCCCGGGGAGAGTGGAGATATATCGGTGCGCTTCCCCATGTACGTTGCTCCCAGCGGAGAAGATGCTGTCGAGGAACCTCGTGAAACCATAGAAAGCTACTTCCGGCGGATGCGTGAGCGGTTCCAGCAGGGCCGGTTTGAAGAGGCTCTGGCAGGAACAGGTACCGGCGAGGAACAGATCGCGGCACGCCGGGAAAGGCTGGCTCGCCTGGAGTCAATGAGCTATGAGGAAATCCTGGATACCAAGGTAATCGTCGGTAGCCCCGACCAGGTCATTGACAAGCTCCACCAGTACCGGGAGAAGTTGGGCATCACTGGCTTCACTGCGGAACTCAATCCCGGGGGCCAGTTGCCCAAGGAAGCCGTTCACCGCAGCCTCAGGCTGATTGCCGAAGAGGTTATGCCGGCCTTCAAGTAAGACGAAATCAGAAGGGTTGGTCAAAAAGTGACGGGGCAGGTTTCAAACCTGCCCCGTTCTGTTTTTTTCTCACCCCTGCTATCTCCCCAAGGGAGAGGAGGAATGTCTGTCCCTACAAATTCCGCAACTTGGGATCCAACTTGTCCCTCAGCCAGTCGCCCATCAGGTTCATGGACAGTACGGTCAACAAGATAGCTAAGCCGGGGAAGAGGGAAATCCACCAACCATTGCCTGCCGCTATCAGATTGCGCCCGTCGGCTACCATTAGTCCCCAAGCCGGAGTGGGCCCGAGGTATACCGACCCCCAAGAAGCTAAGACTAGCTTCGAGCAGGATGACTTGCCCGACCTCCAGGGTCGCCAGCACGATGAGGGTGTTGACCACGTTGGGAAACAGGTGACGGCTGATTATACGAAAGTTGGAAGCGCCTGCCACCCGGGCCTTGGACACAAAGTCCTGGTTCTTCAAGGACAGGACTTCCCCACGCACTAAGCGAGCGTAACGAACCCACAGGACCAAGGCGATGACGATAATTACCGTGTGAAAGCCTGGCCCCATGACCCCGACCAGGACTAAGGCCAGCAGCACTGCCTGAATAGAGAGCTTGATGTCTACTAACCTCATGATAACGTGATCCAGCCAGCCTCCAAAAAAGCCGGCCATCAGCCCCAAGACTGTCCCCACGAACCCTCCGCTTAGTATGGAGAGTCCGGCAACTATGAGGGAAACTCTCGCCCCATGGATGACGCGGCTGGCGACGTCATAACCCACCTTGTCAGTGCCCAGGGGGTGCTCCCAGGTTCCTCCTTCCTGCCATACCGGTGGCGTAAGTCGCTCGGTTAATCTTCCTTCCAAAGGATCCTGGAGCCAGGTATCGGTGATCTGGGTGGCAAATACACCCGGCAGGCCTAGCACGAATAGCAGGATTGCCATTGGGATCAATGGGTAGCGCCGTGCCGCTCGCCAGCCTCTGGCTAATCTCCCGCCCGCTTGGAGCGAACCGGCAACTTGGTCGATCTGTTGCATTACTGCCATTGAGCAATCTCCTTACAACCTGACAAGAAGCAAATCGTAATGGTAGCCGTTCAGTGTTGACGCGTTTGGTGTGCCCAAAATTGTGCCTTAAGAATACGAAATCCACGAAATCTGGCATTCGTGTTCGTGATTTGTTGCTGGCTTTTTTTGATTTCCGCCTGGATCTTAGAACGACGGTTAACCCTCAAATAAGTCTTCAGCCTTGAATGAGCAGGATAACTCCTGTGGTTAGGTTAGCCGGATTCTCGGATCCAGGTAAGCGTAAAAAATATCGACCAGCAGGCTGATAAACACATAGATGAAGGCAAATACGACCACCACACTTTGCACTACTTGGAAGTCGCGAGCCCGGATTGCTTCGATCGCAAGCAAGCCCACACCTGGATAGGCAAACACGGTTTCAGTAATGACTGACCCGGTGATCAGACCGGCAAACTGAATACCAAAATAGGTAATAGGAACCAGGGCGGCATTTCTCAGGCAATGTTTCCAGATAATCTTCCATTCCGGAATTCCCTTTATTCGGGCCAGCTTAACGTACTCGCTGTCCAATACGTCCAGCATGGCAGAGCGGCTAAGCCGCATTCCGGCGGCCAAGCCGAATGCTCCCAGAGCGATTGCCGGCATGATCAGGTGATGTATTCCGTCTAAAGTTCCCTCACCTTTTCCGGAAGTTGGGAATAAGTTCCAATCGACAGCAAGAATCCAGATCATCATGATTGCGAGCCAGAAATTGGGTACCGCCTGTCCAAGCAAGGCAAAAAGCTTGCCTCCGGCGTCCCAGATGGAGTCCTTCTTGACCGCAGATAAAATACCCAGGGGAAGAGCCAGCATTATGCTGACGGTAAAGGCCACAAGGGTCAGTTTAGCAGTAGCCGGAAGCCGCTGGAGAATCAACTCCCCGGCCGACTTGCCGGGCCATTTAATGGATTCTCCGAGGTTGCCGGTAAAGATGTTGCCGACGTAGACAGCGTATTGAACGTGGAGCGGCTTGTCCAATCCCCAATAAGCTCTCAGTCGTTCGTAATCTTCCTGGGTTGCTTCTTCGGGCAGCAGGACGTCTTCGGGGTTGCCACTTGCCCGGGTAAGGGCAAATATAATAAGACTTATCGCAAAAAGGGTAATAATGGCGTGAAAGCAACGAATTATAATATAACGCTGCATCTTGATTGTCCTTTAGGGAACCCCTCGCTGGCCCTGAATCTCTCGATCAACCAAACAAATGAGGGGATTCTCCTTTGGCGTTGCTACCGGGCTTCAAGAGCAGGTGGGTGTGCCGACTCCTGCTTCGCCCGAGGTTAAAACTTCTATCCTGACGGACAACTTAGACAGACGCTTGGCTCCAGCGACGCCATGTCGCTTGCCATTTGGGTTAATCTATCCCCCTCCCCACTCGCGAGTGAGGAGGGGGCATTTTGCCTGGATCACAAGGGGAACCAGCTTACTGGACCTTATTAGTTGGTTGCGGGAACCTGGTTGTGCCAGTAGTAACCGCGATTCAGGTACGTCCAGTCCTCCAGTACCTCCGGGTTGACCGTGAAGTTGAACCGGAACCAGAAGACAGGAATGGTCCAATACTGGTCGTACCAGAAGTTGGCTACCTCCCTGCCGATCACTTCAACTTCTTCTTGGGTGTAGACGGTAAGAGTCTCTTCATACTTATCTTGCATAAAGGGATGGTCGAAGGTGTGCCCAGTAGTATTTGAGGGCGCGTTGGTCCGGACACGGTCCTGGATTTTCCGGAAGCTGAAAACGTTGGCATACATCATGTGCTGGATTTGCTTGGCCCGCCGCATTGCGGAGTAGGCACCAGAGTCAATGTCGGTAATGGTCACGTCGATGCCCACCGGACCCCAGTACTGGGGCAGAGCCTCTACAGCAAGGGGGGATTCCGGCTCTCCGGAGGTACGGTAGTTAAGCATTTCGACCTTTACCGGGTTGTCCGGTCCATAGCCAGCCTCCAAGAGCAACTGTTTTGCTGCTTCCGGGTCATAGCCATAGGCCTCATCCCAGCGGGTTTCCCACTCGGGGTTGTAAATGTTGGGATCAAGTACCTCGTGGCAGCAGGCAGTTACGTGCATCCGCTGCCCCTCGCCCTTGAATATGAAGTCGTTCAATTCATCCCGGTTGATGGCTTTGTTCATGGCCTTGCGTACCCGAATATCAGCCCACGGAGTGGTGGGATCAAAATCGGTGTCGCCAGGCATAAAGTACATGCCACCGAAGAAGAGGCTCAACTGGCTGAACGCCACCTGGGCGGGAATGACCTTCATGCCGCCGTTTATGGCCGACTCTTGCAGGTCGCGGGACAGAGCGATGGCGTGAATCTCACCGGCCAATAGCCCTGCAAGCCTCGTAGTTTCTTCACCAATCCAGCGAATCTCCATTTCCTGGAAGGGAGCTGGATACCGCCAGTGCTCGTAAGGGACTCGCTCGTAAACTACGCTCTCGCCGAGCTTTCGCTCCGTGAATTGATAGTAGCTTGTGCTGGCCGGCTTTACGTCGTCGAAGTTTTCATACCCTACTTCGTCCAACTGATCCTTGCTGAATGAGATTAACTCGAGTCCTGTGGGCAGGTTTGATACGACACTGAGCATGGGGAGGGACGGGTTTTCCATGTGGAAGGTGATAGTGTGATCATCCACCACTTCTGCGCTAGCCATCTCTTTCCAGAAACTGGTGGTGCTGGATGCGCAAGATTCATCGCCCTTGGCTACCGCCATAGCCGCGAAGTCTTGGGCGGTCAAGTTTCCATAGCCGTGGTGAAAGGGGACTTCCTCTTCCAGGTTGAAAGTCCAGGACTTGGCATCTGGCGTGGCCTCCCAGGACTTCGCCAGCCAGGGGTTAAACTCGGCCGTCACGGGGTCGGCTTCAACCAGGAATTCCACGTAGGGCAGGAACTGCGAAATAATCGGGCGGTTCCCGCCGCAGTGCTGGTTGGTCTCCACCTGAATTTCACCCTGGGATTCGACGTACCGGACCACGGTGGGTTCGGCCATCTCCTGTTCCATACTTTCGGCCGCCGGCGCCGGCATTGCCGTAGGGGCCGGTTGCTCCTGGGCCATAGGCTCGGCGGCTGGTTCGACCTGAGCCACAGGTTCGGCGGCTGGCTCCGCAGCAGACTGTTCAGGGGCGGAGGCGCCGCACGCCACAAGCATGGCCAGAGTTAATAGAAGTGCTACGAAAAGTACCGCCTTTGAAGTGAATATCCAACGGATCGGCATAGACATCCTCCTTTTGTAGTAGAGGTAGTGTGTACCATTTGGGCCGTATCTCGGCAAATATACAACCGTGTTTGGATGGTGTCAATATCAACAGCTTTTTCTTATTGGTAAGCAATATACAATGGATAAATGGTACGAAAAGCATAACCTATTACTCATAATACTGCCCTAAACGGTATGTGTAGTTCGAATGTCTTCAAGCCGCATTCCAGTTGTCGCACCACGCCAGGAAATACACTATAAAATAGTGTGTTGCCCTGCTCTATCGGAAGGGTTAACATTGGCACAATACCGGGCCGGATTCTCAGTTATTACCTAAGAGGGGCAGTGGGAACCGGTGGGAACGCCAAGTGCCAGGAGGACTTATGGCCGGAGTTTTGGACGCAAAAGCAGCGGGGGCGCGCCGCTTTGAGGGGAAGGTGGCAGTCGTTACCGGCGCCGGCCAGGGTATCGGCGCGGCCACCGCCCGTAGACTGGCCCAGGAAGGGGCTGCGGTTGTAATTGGAGACATGGTAGAGGAGTCCTCCATGAGGGTTCGCGACGAATTGCGTGAATTCGGCGGAGAGGCGGCAGTCTGCCTCGGGGAGCTTTCCAAGTGGGAAAATGCGCAGGCCTTGATGGCCTTTGCCCAGGAGCAATTCGGTCGCATCGACGTTCTGGCCAACGTGGCCGGGGGCACCATCTGGTTCCAGTCCTTCCAGTACTACACACCGGAGCAGATCCAGGCCGAAATTGACAAGAGCTTCTGGACGGCCATGTGGTGCTGCCGTGCCGCTTTGCCGTACATGATCGAGCAGAAGTCGGGCGCCATAGTTAATGTTGCTACCCATGCAGTAACCGGCGCGTTTCGGGTACCCTACGCAGCCGCCAAGGCTGGACAGATTGGGCTTACGACATCGCTGTCCAGGGAGGTGGCCCCCTTGGGAATCCGAGTGAATTGCATGGCCCCCAGCGGAACTTTGGCAGAGGATAGGGTGACGCCCCGGAACCATGGAATAAGCGCTGTACCACCGGAACTGCCACCGGAGGAAATGGACCTGCAGGAAACTTACCGGCAGCAGACGCGCCTGTCGGAAATACCCATGGGCCGTCGGGGCGAAGCAGATGAGCAGGCTGCAGCCATTGCCTTTCTGGCTTCCCATGACGCTTCCTATATTACGGGGCAAGTACTGGCAGTAGGGGGCGGACAGGCCTATCCCTTCTGATGGATTCGATGAACCATTGTTGCATAACCAGCGTGCTATAATCGGTGCCAATCCCACGAAAGTCAGCGAATAGCCGTTAGCGTCTCCTGGAAAAATGTCGTATCGGAGGAAGTAGCATGGGACTTAAAAAGCTGCTTGTGAAACCCCTTTTCCGGTTATCCCGGCGGTTACAAACACATGCGACGGGGATCTCAGGGTTTTGACCAAACACCTCCTTTTCGCAAACCCGATGATCCAGCGGACCGCCGCAGCAAAATACCACCCACGGGATTCCGCGAGTACTGGTATCCGGCATTGCCTGCCAAGGACGTCAAGAAAGATAAGCCGGAAGTCCTTCGGATGCTGGGCACTGATGTGGTCTTTTTCCGGGATACGAATGACGAGATTCAAGCGCTTCTGGACTGGTGTCCCCACCGCTCGGTCTATCTATCCATGGGGCGCTGCTACTTCTCCGGTTTTGTAACCTGTCCCTACCACGGCGCCACTTTTGACGGCGACGGCAACTGTGTGGCCTTCCTGACTGAGGGCCCCGAGTCAAAGATGGTGGGAGCCCCCGGAATGAAGGCCCGAAAATTCCCTACGGCAACCATCAAGGGAATGGTGTTCGTCTGGATGGGCGACGGTGAGCCGGTGGACCCGCAGGAGGATATTCCGCCGGAGATGTTCGAGGATCACAATATCCACCGGCCCGTCTTCACCATGTTCGACTGCAACTGGGTGCTGGTTTTGGAAAACACCATGGACGCCCACAACGCTTTCATGGTGCACCGGAACGCCATCCGCATCCTGAAAAGCCGGTTGGGCGGACGTCCCCGAACTCCCCTTGGCTACCGAGTGAACCTGGTCAACAACAAGAATGTGCATTACCAGCCGGGCCGGGGCAAGTCGAGCGTGGAAAAATACTACTACGACGAAGAAGGCAACATTCCCTACCAGATGTATTACCCGGGGGTGGATGGTGTCTGGCCCCAAAGTCGGTGGCGCCTGATGTGGACCTGGATCTTCGACCGAAAGGCACGCAAGACGGGACAGGCTCCGGGACGTGTCCGCCCACCACAGGCCGACGAGTCGGGCGTCAATGAATGGAACGGTACCCGCCTGCCCGGCATGTCCCGCACCGGAGGCAACAATGCCTACTTCCGCAGCACCCGCTGGGCCGTTCCGGTAGAGGACAACCTGACTCGCATGGTGTACTTGAATGTGGAACGGTACAGCAAGCGGCCCAATACTTTCCGCCGCATGTGGAGCTCTGTAACCTGGCCCTACCGAAACTGGGAGTTGAACTTCAACTTCCGCAACCAGGATTACGACGCCGAAAAGTACGTTCAGTACGACTTTCCGGAGTACCTGTCCTCCACTGACTCGGTAGTGGTGGCTATGCGTCGGCTCTTCTCGGAGCATAACCGGGACGTGATTCGCCGGCGGGAGCGGGAAGAGGAACTGCCGGAAATACTGAACGAAACACTGGCCGAGCAAATGGTAAGAGAAGGCGATGTCCGCGTAGCCGAAACAGCCGAAGCCTTCGATGTGGACAAACTGCAGGAGGAGCTGCTGCGGCGGGTGTAAGCGAGGGCCCGGTCAGGCAATTAGTTGATCTATTGATCCCCTTCGGGTATCTGTCTGAGGGGGATTTGCTTGGAACTTTAGTATGCAAGACTTTTTCAATTCGATAGATGCAAATAGTGACAGCAAACCCAGTCAGTCAGGCTTTTCGCTGGACTATGGGTAAGGCTTGAGAGTTGTCAGCTCTCAGTTCCTGGAAGAGAGCAAGTTCGATTGGGCGCTTTTTCAGGGCTTTGACAGCATGCGTGTTCTCACCTACTCGGCCAGTATTCCAGCCATCGTAAAGATGTTGGACGAATTTGGGTTCGATAGCTTCGAATGCGTATTTGGTTGCGAAGCAACAATGAGGGACATCAAAGATGTCCTGGCCTTTCAAAGGGTAGCAGTCGGCGACACCCGTGCCGCCATTATGGGATTGTCGGATGAGCGCCACGTTCACATCCTGAACAGGGTACGAGCCGGACAGGCTTCGTTCAGAGTCTTGCGTAGCCACATTGCTCATGCCAAGTTGTACTTGATGGAGAATACGGAGAATGGGCGCAAGAGGGTCATCATTGGTTCTGCCAACCTGTCTGAACGTGCTTTCTCCGGCAGGCAACCCGAAACGCTGGTTAAGTTTGACGATGATGAGAAGGCCTGGGAGCATTATTCCCGAATGTACCAGGGGATAAGAGACTCTGCGTCCGACGAAATACCTCTGCCTTCGGAACGGATTGTCCATGCCGAGATCGAGGTGGAAGAAATACCCGCGGTAGCGGACCGGCAAACCACCCTGGTAATTGACCGCCCTACCGACGGTACAAACACTTGGAGTTTTCCGGTTCAAATTGAACGTATAGAGAAGGTAGCCGCAGCCATCGGGCCCCGCTTGGCCGCCGTGGCGCCCCCGCTTCGAAATGGCAAGCAGCAGATAACGCCACAAGTGAAGCGAGAAATCAGCAGAATTCGCCTGGTAAAGTCCGCAGAAGAATCCGACAACAGATATCTGTCCATCAACCGTCCTGAAGGGAAGGCTATGTTGTCCGGCGAGGATTTTCCCCTGGATTGGGATTCAGAGAAAGTTGCTGCCGACGCCCGCTTGATGTTTGAATACTTCGGAAATTACGAAGGAGCTTTCGAAGGAGACGTCTCCAGGCTACAGCTTGACTACTTCATTTTGTGGTCGTGGCTATACTTTTCGCCCTTTATGTGTGACATGCGCTCAAGGGCGCTTCTGTTAGGCGAAGATGTAGTACGCTATCCCTCATTTGCCATCGTGTTTGGCAAGTCAAACTGCGGCAAGACCACGCTGGTAGATACTTCGATGACCTCCATGTTTGGGAAGGTCAACACCGTGGACAAGCGAAGCTTTACTACCGGCCAATTGAGAGGGTTGCAGCAGGCATACAAGAGATATCCAGTGGTTTTCGACGATATCGGACGCCGGGCCTTTTCGAATCATGGCAGAGATATCATCAAGGAAGAACTGCCGCCCCTTGTCGAGGAATATCCTGGATTCGTGCTTTCAATGAACGCGGAACCTACGGCCTTTCCGGATGAGATTGTAAAAAGAAGCCTCATGATCTATACGACCACAGCACTGCCGCCGCATAAGGAGGAGCTAAGGCAGCGCCTGCACAGCCGGATCCAAGGTGTACGAGATGGACTGACCGGCCATCTTTATCGACGTTACCTGGATGAGACTTTGAACCACCTGAATCAAGACAGCTTGCCCGAGGATTGGCTAAATCTTTCCTCAGACATATTAAGCAGAATTCTCGTAGAAACTGCCGCCGCCGGCGATAGTCCCGCATGGTGCCGGGCTCAAAGTTGGCTGGGTTATGCGGAAAAACGGTACGACAGGGTTAAGGCCAGACTTAATGACCTTCTGCGCCCTTCCGCCATCCTAAAAAAGGAGGGAGAATCGCCGAATGGCTGGATTCTCGATGGCCAAAGGGTCATAGTCCTGGAACAACGGGATGCCTTTGGCCGACGGGGTTTCGACTGGGAGGATGTGCCATCCACTCTAATTGACGAGGATGCCAGTGGTGGTGGCCGAACGGTGCTAAATCGAGTCAGCCTGGAAGGATTCCTTGGTAGAATCCTCCGGCCGCCCAGTAGAGTGTTCTTCTGGAAGGGGAGGAAGTGAGTTGTTATACTAAATATATAGACTTACCAAGTATAAGGTTTGGTATTTCATCCAGATGCCTCTACAAAGGTCACTCTACCCTAGCTTCAGTTTGAACTCGTGCTCTCAATGCCTCCTTTTTATCTACGCCTACCCTTATAGGTATTTCAGGCTGTTTTCGCCTGCCATTTTCTAGAGGTCTTCCATCCATGCCTGCCAACGCCTACTGGATTCTTTTTGTTTTCATTGCCTATTTCGTAGTTCTTATTGGTATTTCCTTATTCCGGGCCCGGCACATGGACGATATGTCCGACTATGTGCTGGGCGGCCGCAAGATGGGTTTCGTAACCTCTGCCTTAAGCGCCGCCTCGTCGGCTACCAGTGGCTGGACCATGCTGGTGCTGCCCGCATTGGCATTTGCCGCGGGAATGATGCATTTATGGACAGTTGCGGCGATTATTCTGGGCCACTGGCTTGCCTGGACTATAATGGCCAAGCGTCTTCGCCGGTATACCATCGCGGCGGAAAACTCACTGACCATACCGGAGTTTCTCGAGAAACGCTTTGGGGATTCCAGTGGCGTATTGCGAACATTGTCCGGATTAGTGGGAATTTATTTCATTACGCTTTACGTTTGCTCCGGCCTCATCGCGGGCGCCAAGCTACTGGAAGTGGTTTTCGGCCTGGACCACATGGGTAACGGCCACAACATCGGCGTGCTCATATCGCTGGTGGCGGCCGTGTCGTACACATTTATCGGGGGTTTCCTGGCCGTATCTCGGACCGATGTATTTCAGTCCCTGATTATGCTGGCCGGTTTTATCATTATCCCCATTACGCTGATCCTCATGGTCAGCAACCCTTTCCACGGCCTGGAATCAACTGCTCCCGGATTCTGGAACCCCTTTACCGACAAGTCCAACCAGAGTCTGGGGGTCCTGTTCTTCCTTTCCTCGGTGGGATGGGCCTTTGGCGCATTAGGCGCCCATCGGATTCTCTCCCGTTTCATGGCAGTGCAGCGGGAAAGCGACATTACACGAAGCAGAAACGTAGGCGCGGTCTGGGTTGTGCTAATCTTCCTTTTTGCGCTGTTGATGGGACTGGTGGCTGCGCCGGCCTTGATGGATCGCGGAATAATGCTGCCAGACGCGGAAAAACTCTACCTCGTGGTGGCGGAAACGTTCTTTCATCCCGTAGTCGCCGGACTGCTGCTAACCGCAGTAATAGCTGCGGTAATGAGCACTGCCGACTCACAATTGTTGCTGGCTTCCGCCATAGCCACCGACGACGTACCATTGATCAAGAGGATTACCTATTGCATGCGTACCCAGTCCCGAGTGTGGATGGGCCGCGGCATGCTGCTATTGGTGGGCGTAATCGCCGCCGCCATTTCGATAATATCTCCGGAGTCAGTGTTTGCCCTGGTTTCGCTGGCGTGGGGAGGCATGGGAGCGGCCTTCGGCCCTGCCATTATTCTGGCCCTTTACTGGCGACGCTTTAACCGCTGGGGAGCATTAGCTGCACTGGTATCGGGGACGGCGGTATCAACTTGGTGGTGGCTAATGGGCCTGGGATGGGAGGGCGCCGAGACTCTGACCGACCTGCTGGGGTTTCACGCGACGGTTGCGTTAATGGGTGAAGTTGGCATCTGGCAAATGAATCCTGCTACTCCAGGATTTGTGGCAGCAGCGATTTTCGCCGTGGCAGTTACCTTGTTAACAGCCCCTCCGCCACAAGAAGTTACAGACTTGTACGACTTGGTCAACGGACCAAACTGGGTAGAAGCAGGCGAACTGACGACAGAACCGGAACGAGTCTGACCTGGCACCCTTTTTAGTTTGCTCGTTGGACTCCAATGGTTCTGATGGGGCCTTTGTCTCGGAAGACCTTTGTATGACCGAAGAGGTGGTATTCAGTTTCTGGTCTTGGTCCCAACATAGCGATTGGGCGGTATTGGCAGTCCCAGGTTGCCGTGCAAGGTGTTGGACTCGTACTCGGTGCGAAAGATTTCCCTGTCCTTGAGGATGGGAACGACCAGGTCAATAAAGTCATTGAAGCCGACGGGCAGCACCGAATTGTTCACCATGAACCCGTCGGCGGCGCCCCCTTCCAGCCAGCTTTGCATGGTATCCGCTACCTGTTCCGGAGTGCCGATGAACTTGTGCCGCGACGTAGTCGTTCTCAAGGCTACTTCGCGCAAGGTCAGATTTTCCTCCCGCGCCATTTTCTTCAGCCGGTCGGTAGTGCTCTCCCAGCCATTGCGGCCGAAGTCGCCCAGTTCCGGGAAAGGCGCATCCAGGTCAAACTGGGTAAAGTCCAGGTCGTCGAAGTAACGGCCCAGGTAGTTCAGTGCGTCTGCCATTTCCACCAGGCCTGCGATTTCGCGGTATTTCTCGTCTGCCTCGGCCTCACTATGCCCCACTATTGGCGAGCACCCGGGGAGAATCAACAACTCCCCAGGATTCCGGCCGTATTCCGCTGCACGTCCCTTGACGTCGTCGTAGAAGGCCTTGGCCGCCTCCAGTGACGGTTGGCCGGTAAAGATTACATCGGCGTGGCGGGCGGCAAAGCTGCGACCCGCTTCTGAAGAGCCGGCCTGGATTAGAACGGGCCTGCCCTGGGGGGAGCGGGAAATGTTAAGGGGCCCCTGTACAGAGTAGAACTCTCCCTGGTGATTTACGCGGTGCATCTTTTCTGGATCAAAAAAGACTCCAGCTTCCTTGTCGAATACAAAGGCATCATCTTCCCAGGAGTCCCAAAGCCCTTTGGTAATTTCCAGGAACTCGTGGGCCATTTCGTAGCGCAAGTCATGGGCAGGATGCTCCGGCTTGCTGTAGTTTGAGGGCTGACCCTTCCAGCGGCGAAGTAACGATGTTCCAACCGGCTCGCCCATTGCTGATGTGGTCAATTGACATAAACTGCCGCGCCACTGTAAAGGGCTCACTGTAGGTTGTAGAAAGGGTAGCCGCCACCCCGATGTGGGTAGTGTCCATAGCCAGGGCGGCCAGCAGGGTCAGGGGCTCGAATCGGTTCAGGAAGATGGGATGGGACTTTTCGCTGATGAATAGTCCATCGCCAAAGAAGACGAAATCCAGCTTGGCTTCCTCGGCTTTGCGTGTCAACTCCCGATAGTATTGCAGGTTAATAGGGCCATCGGGCACCGCCTGGGGGTGCCGCCAGGATGCCATGTTGCTGCCGGTGCCAGAAAAAAAGGCCCCCAGCCGGAGTTTGCGTTGACTTGTCATATATCTCGCTCAGAGTTCCTGGGAAGTTCCGAGATGCTGGGAAGTTAGGGAGAGGATTTTACGCCCTGGTTATCATGGCTTCGCCAAGCAATTCATAAGAATGCAAGCGCTTCTGGAAACTATCGATGGCGGTTACAGCGAATATCTCTTCCACCCGATATTCTTCACTCACCTGAATCAGTCGATACTTGACCGCCTCTGCCGACCCGTGGATGACGTTAGCCGGCTGGACCTGGAAGGTATAGTCTTCTCCGGACTGGCGCCCAAACTCCCTGGCCCCTTCCTCGGAGAATACGGTAAAGGTGCGCCCGCTTGCCAGCCGGACTCTCACCACGTTGATGTTCTCGGCGTAACCGGAGGCTTCCTGATCGGTGTCGGCCACGATAATCGGCAGGGCAAGCATGGCCCGAGGCTGGAACTCAGGGTTGGGACAAGAGCGGCTGTGATAAATTTCAATGGCCTTACGCATTTCGGCCTCGTCTCCATTAAGGAACATGGCAAAAACATAGGGCAGTCTTTGATCGGCAGCCACCTCCGCGCTGGCTGCGGTAGTCCCCAGGAGAAAAACATCCGCCGGTTGCGGTGGCAAAGGCGTTGCAATTAATCCGCTGGAAAGTGAGTTGCCGTTGGCGTCGCAGTTAAGGAATTGCCTTAACTCTTTGAGCTTTTCATCCAGTGATTTGCTGTTGGGCACGTCACCAGGCTGGGTACGCAGAGCCTGGGTGGAACGGGGCAGCCCGCCAGGTCCTCTCCCTATTCCCAGATCCACCCGACCAGGAGCCAGCGAAGCCAGAACGTTAAAGTTCTCGGCAACTTTGTAAGGGCTGTAGTGCTGGAGCATAACGCCGCCCGACCCGATACGTATGGAGTCGGTGCGCGCCAGCAGGTGGGAAATAAGCACTTCGGGTGAGGACCCCATGTTCCGTCTGGAGTTATGGTGTTCGGCGACCCAGAAACGATGATAGCCCCACGCCTCGGCGTGTTGGGCCAACTCAATGGTGTGCTGGAGAGCCTGGGCGGCAGTTTCTCCTTCAGCAGCAGGGCTCTGGTCCAAAATGCTCAATTTCAAGGGAATTTCCATAAAGCCGAAGCCGGTCTGGGATTATTCTACGGGCCAACTGGGTGCAGACCAGCCCAATGCATAGAAGATCTACGGCGAACCGGTGAATGGAGAAATTCTACCACAGCCGAGGGGTGCCAGAGGAGCGGAGAGCCCAGCCTGGCAGAAGTGTCCTGCGAGGGGCTAATATCTATACGCTTCGGTCTCGGGCCAGGAAACCCAATTCGTGGACGTGGTCGACCATTTCAATGGCCTGGCTGGAGCCTTCTGCCCGCACTTTCAATGTCATCACGTGGGCTATGTTGTAGACGGATACCGGATTGGCCAGTGTAAAGGCTGTCGCTGGGATAACGCCCATTAGAGATTCAACGGGCAGCCGCAATATTGGATCCATCAATCGCTCAAATTCCTGCTGACTTCTGACATGCCCTATGGGATACCGATGTTCCACGGTTAGCCCGTTTGACAAGACCACCGAAATTACCACGATGTCTACGGGTCGTTGCTCGATTGCCAACTTGCGGCTCCCTGTAGTGGAACTGGATGGCGTTAACGGGAGCAATCATGGCGAAAAGAGGCTGTTCCCGTGTTGGTGGATCACGAATTTTAATGATATGAGGATGATGAAGCGATGTCAAAGGTTGGTGGTAATTTCTTTAAATTGCGTTGGCACATAACCTATTAAGGGCTTTTATGCTAAACTAATTGGAACTGTTAATGATATGAGAGCACTAATATTCTAGGTTCGTGTCCTGCTGTAATTCTTGGACTGTGTCTCGCGAAACAGGCCTACTTCAGGCCCTGGCAGGTCCAAAACTTACCTGGTGTCATGGTTAAGGACATGCTGGACGGCTGTTAACTGTTCTGGGGGTGGGGATGTGGTGTTTGAAATTGACTATGCCGCCTATAGCGTACTCTTGAAAGGAGGACGTTAACAATGACTAGCCAAACATCTAATTCTACTCAGCCACCAGGCCTGTCGTCCTTCTTGATAGCTGCCCAGGACTGGCTGGACGAAGGCTACGCCTCGTCGGTGGTCTGGCAGGTTCTGGAGGCGCGCGAACAGCTATCCGGTGAGACCAAGCGGGCCTTGGTTACCGCCATTCGGAACAGTGGACTAAGGGTCCCTGGGGTAGGTTTCCAACTTCAGGATGTCCCGGATGCACCTACTCATCACCTTCATACGCCGGTGCTTAGAAAGATGGAAGTCTCGGATGAGCTTACCGAGGCTGTCCTCAGGGCTTGGGTTGGTATTCAGGGAGAGCTTTACGAGAGCGTAGTCCAGCACCTGCAGTGGAACGATGAACCTACCTACGGCCCAGACCGTCAGGAAAGGACCTTCCGAGGTTACTGGGACGCCAAGGAATGGCAAACTAACTTCAACCAATTCCTGGCTGACCGTACGGGCTTCGACCACAATGATGTCGGCTTAATGCTCTGGTATGTGTCCGGCAAATTGCCCCCACCGGCCTCGGAAGTGGAAGACCCTTCAGACAGAGTGGATTTTGAACGCTGGAAGGAACTTTTGATGGCGCTTCGCCCGGATGCGCCGCAGTGGGAAGCCGCCCAGGAGTTTGCCGCTGCGATAGCAGAGATTCGGGAAGAAAAGGAAAAGCAACGGGCCAGGGATGCGGTCAACAAGCTCAAGACCAAAACGGAAGACATCTGGCTGGAATACTCTGACGAACTGATTTACCTGGAAAGAAACATTGGGCTTTGGGCTTCTACCAATAGAATTCAACCTGAGGTTGCTCTCGAGACTTTGGCGCAGGTAATGAACCTGGAGTTGTTGCTAAGCCAGTACCGGCCAATCAGGGACCAGGCCCAGAGCCGGAGCGTTGAGTCTTCCCGGGCAGGTCGGAGAGCAGAACTGGAAGCGGAGATTATCTCCACCGTAAGCGATCTGGAGCTGACTTTCTCTCCCTCTGGGGGAACCCTCGTGTTTGAGGCCCCGGCTTCTGGCGCTGACCTTTCCCCCGAGCCTGATCAACTTTCAGACATCGAATCTATGACACTTGCCGAAGAGGAAATCATTGATCTTCCGGAGGAAGAAGATATCTTAACGCTGACGGCGGTTGAACCTGAAACCGACACTATTTGTGAAGAAATAGCGGCAGCGGAATTGCTGTCTTTGGAGTCGGAGATATCGCCGCTGGTTGTTGAGGAGGAAAAGACCTCGGACGACAGCGTCAACGCGTCCATTCTGGCCGGCCTGATGTCTCTTCGTGAGGACATTGAGCTTCTCAAGGCACAGTTGAATAACGGTGATTCGGCAGAGGACTCTGTAGAAGAAGAAGCCGCTTCAACCAATTCTGCCGAATTAGACGAAGCCCCTATTGTAAATGACCTTCCCGCCGTTGACGGGTTGAACGCAGTAGTTTCACAGGCGCAGGAACGGTTTCCCAAGCAATTGCTCTTCAGGCTGAATTCAGAATCGTGGGTCAACGGCAACCCCTTCGAAGATCCGCAGTCTGTTCTAGACGCCCTGGAATGGTTGGCAACCGCTTATTTGCCGGCCAGATTGGGCGATATGGACTTCGTGAAGCTTAACGAGTCCCTCTACCAAGCATGCCGCTGGAAGTATTCCAACAACCGGCACGACAGGGCCTTCTTTGAAAACGAAGGCCAATATCGGATGCTGGTGAATGGGAAAGCCTACTTCCTAAACGAGACTATCGGGAAGGGTGTGGGTGAGGACCCGGTAAATACTATCAGGATAGCTTTTTACTGGGACAGGCAGAGGGAGAGGGTTGTTGTAGGCTATATTGGGCAGCATCAGTTGCTTGCCGGCGAGTGAACCGGCTACCAGAGTTCTCCCCCGCCGCGCCACTCCGCGGATAGTGGTTGGTCGAGGTACAGCGGCGGCCTCAGGGGCAGCTTCGAGATCATCACCCGCTCTTCAGGTGTAGGAACCAGGGCGGGTCTTTCTTTTGCCGGCAGGTCATGGGTTCGGATGTAGAGCGGTCCTCGCCAGTACTTCCATCCCAAATGATTATAGAGCCGTGTATCTCCAGGACATAAGGTGGGCCAGGTCAAATCTCTCATCCGCTGCGGCCTGTATGACTTTCTTCATTACCTCGGAGTCGATCCCTTGATTCCGGTACTCCCCCACGGTCGTAACCATTTCCACATAAGCAGTTCGAAGCATTGGTTCCTCGCCTGCTTGCAGCCACCTCGTAACCACCATGGCGTGGCCAACCAGGCGGTCTTTCAGCTAGGCCAGCACATGGAAGTCGGGGCTGTAAGCTGTGAAAAGGAGGGACAGGTCTTCGCCGTAGGCATCGTCGCATAGATTGCGAATTGCTTGGTCAGTAGTAGCAGGCAATTGATGGGCCCCGGTAATCTGCACGGATAATTCGGATGGCATCGCTTTAATGAGGACCCCCCGCGCTGCGACTGGTATGCGCGGGGGGTCAGATCAGTCTAACTTATCAAATGGGGAGACAGCGGGAGCCGTCTAAAGGCGAGCGCCGTCGTACATGCCAACAAAGAAGGGAGGTATCTTCCGGTATATCTGGATGCGGTTGCGCTGAGAGTCGACTATGAACAACCTGTCCTGATCATCAACCTCAATGCCAATGGGGCCGCGCAGGAACTTTTCCCGCTCCAGGCCCTGGGCGATTTCCCGCTGGAGCTTCATGTCAGGGTTGGCGTCCAGCTTGGTTATGCCCCATTTGGACAAGGTGGCATCGCCCATAATCACGGTTATGAACAGGCCGTTGCTGTCAAAAACCTGAACCCGATCATTGTCCCAGTCTGCCACGTAGATGATACCTTCTCCATCCACGGCCACACCGGTCGGGCGTCTCATCTCACCTTCGCCGGTACCCCTGGTTCCGAACTTCATCAGGAAGTTGCCGTCACCGTCGAACTTCTGGATTCGGTCGTTGCGCCAGTCGGCGATGAAGATACTTCCATCGGCATCAATATCAATACCCCAAGGCATGTTCAATTCGCCGTCGCCGGTACCGAAGCTGCCAAAGGACGATATGTACTTGCCGTCTTTGGTATATTTCTGGACGCGGTTGTTGCCGGTATCCACCAAGACTACATTGCCTTCGCCGTCAAAATGGATGCCGGAAGGCTGGTTGAACTGGCCTTCCCCATCTCCGACCACACCCCATGAGCCCAGCCAATCGCCGTCATTGGAAAACATTGCAATGCGATTAAGCCACTCATCAGTGATGTAGAGGTTCTCTTCACTGTCCAGAGCGATGTCGGTAGGCCAGACCAAGGAGCCGTCGGACGCATTTTTACCGGTGTCCATCAGTTCGCCGCCCAACCGACCGCCGTTTCCAATCTCTCCGATGTATTCCTCATCCACCGTGCAGACGGTTATGCGCTTGGAGTCGGCACGGTAATCGTATGCCCGACTGACAACGTACATCACATTGTCTGCGCCCCGGGCCAGGGAAACGGGGTTTTTGAAACCGGGCCCAGCTTCTTCGCCGCGCCCGATGGTGTGGGTGTAACGGTAAGTTACACCTTGTACTTCAGTAGTCATTTTCACCTCTACCAGGAAAGGTGAGAAGAGCGCCTAAAGGGGCGCTCTTCGCTTGTCCTGGGATTATTTCTTGACAAAGTCCAGCTTTTCGAAGCTGCCATTGACGATGGGCTTGGCGTCGAGACCGAACCAATCTTCCAGAATGGTGGTGTATAGGCCGCGGAAGTCGTTGTTGAAATGCAGGTCGCCGTCCAACAACTTGTCGGCTTCCAGGGAAGGATACTCGCCATACAGGCCACCCTTGACGCAGTCGCCGATGACATAGGCGGCGCCGCCTGAACCGTGGTCAGTGCCGGAACCGTTGTCGTGTACCCGCCGCCCGAACTCGGTGAAGACCAGCAGCATCACGTTCTCGCCTGCGTTCTGTTCCTTCAGGTCCTGGTAGAAGTCGTTGACGGTGCGGGAGACTTCCGTGACCAGGTTGGCATGTGCGGTCAACTGAGTGGCATGGGTATCAAAACTGTTGTATGGAGCGGTGGTGTAGAGGACACGCGTCCCCAGCTCGGCGCAATGAACC